CCTGCTCTGTCCTTTCCTGTAAAGTGCATACTTACAGACCTACAGTGGTATTTGAGATTTATAGTGCATGGGATATCAAGTCTTGTGACCCCTTATCAGATCTCATGTGTCAGTCAAGCTAAAATATATAGATGTATAGATGCACCAATATATAGTTAGTTTATACCAGCATTAGCTTAAAAAAAAAACAATATCCGTATTAGTAGAGTACTGTTATTGTTTCCCTAACTTTATTGTGTTTTACAGCCATCAGTCTACATGACTGTTGTGTGGCAGATCTTGGATAGCCATTTTGTTTTGTTTACATCCTCTAACTGCATTGGCATTTGATGTCTTCCCAGAGATGACAGCAGCCACGGTATACTGGGACCCCCTGCATAAGATGGTCAAGCTGAAAGAGGGGGTGCTGGAGACTGAGGGGGATGCATATGGGTATTTGAACGATACCCTGTCCAGTTTAGGCTGGAGCATCCTAGAGATCCGTGCCGGGTACGGAAAAACCCCTGAAACTGATGAGCTCACTTTCTTCCTGGCTGGCTACCTCGAAGGCTACCTCACTGCCCAGTAAGTGTCATTAAGGTGCTGCCATGCTTGCTGTATCCTTCCTTCCACGCAAACATCTGATATTGAAATCATAACAAAAGTCAGTAATCACATTGGTGGTTGGTTGGTCAGTATGGTGATAAGTGACCACTGCAATCCCTGTGTTGTGAGAAACTCAACAAAGATAAGAAATTTGGATCAATTTTGACCTTTGACACCTTCTGTAACAACTGATAAGTGATTGAGATCCACCAGCCTCCCCATGATGCAATAGAAAAACACTTGTGATTCTAAATGTTGTCATTTTGTTGTTTTCATTACATTAATTTAGTATTCATACGAACTCTCCCTCCACAGGCAGATGATGGACCACTACACCAACATGTTTCCGCAGCTGATTGACAACCCAGAGATCCTCGGTCCAGTTCAGAGTTTCATGGCGTGAGTCTGTTCTCTTTTCCTTTTAAAAATAAAAAAAACCACAACACCAGTCACAGTACATAATCACACATCACTGTCATCATCTTTCATATCCTCTTCTCAGAGTTGGTTCAGCTCATAATATACCCAGCTCAGAGCGTGCTGTGGCCAGACATTTAAGCTCCTTCTGTAATTGCATTTGGCTTAATGTAGTTCACTCCTGGCAGTAATCATATTATTAAATTCAGCAAGAAGAGAACATAGACATGATTATTATTTGTTGAACCCAGAATTTTTTGATGGTGCAATAAACAATAAACTGGCTCTTTACTTTGAATTGTTATACAGTAAATTATTATAATAGCAACAGTAAACAGCAGATGTCTGTCTTATAGGAAGCAGGATGCATGGACCAGAGAGCAGGTGAAACTGAACAAGAGCTCTGATCCTCTGTGGAAACACACGGGCTTCATCGTAGCCCAAATGGACGGGCTGCAGGCAGGAGTTGCAGACTGGGCAAAGAAAGAAGGGAAAAAGGTATGATGGCCATAGCTTAGTGTCTATAGAGGCTAAGAACAGCACTTCTCTTTTACATGCACTAGAAGCCTTTAACTGCCCTCTTATTTCCTTTGGTAATTTTATTTCATTTTGAGGTTTTAATCTTCCCTATTACAAGCTCTGCTCCTTTACTGTGTATTTTAGTAAAGACCTCCAAGGTACAACAATTTTATTACTGTTTTATCTAAGAATGACAGAGTGGTACTACTCAACTGAATATAGGATCTTGCATTGTTACTGCGGGATGCCAGTTTGGCTGTTGCTGATTTTAACTGTGGTTGTTCTCAATATGCATGCTTCCTCCGAGCCAGATCATCCAGAACTATTGTGTTTCTCATCACTGTTGTGTGTATAAAACAGAAAGAGTAAGGTTAATAAGAAATTATTGTGCAGATTTGGTATGAAAAGTCTGGATTTCAGTGATTCAAAGCTTGTCAGTTGTTTTGTAAGTGAGTTATTTTTCATACTATTCATTTTCATTCATTGACCAGCAGCTGTTTATCTGATGTCCTTCCCATAGCCGATGTCCCTGTTTGACGTTCAGTTCCTGAATGCAGTGGGAGACCTGCTGGATCTGATCCCAGCCTTGGTCCCCACCTCCAACCGTCTGCTCAGAGACTTTAAACTTCCAGGGATGGGGCACTGCTCTGCACTCATCAAGGTCAGAAGCTAAAACAAGTTCCAGTCAGGGTGTAAGGCCTGCTACATACACTATATAAGCAACTACCAATAGTGAATGAAATTCCTGTGTAAAAAGATGTACTGATCCACAGCGAGAGAATATTATTCTTTGTGCATACTTATTTAAATTCTTCCCATTCTCTTTTTAAAGCTCTCTCTTTGCATCAGTGAAGAATTTAGTCTATAAAAGTGCACATTCCTCCTCTGTGACAATTTTTAACACCCACACCAGGAAAACAAGGTGTATTGTTCGCAGAGAGTGTATGTTATTAAATTTACTACATAAACAAAGAGCTCCCACACAGACTTATGTAAGTGAAAATGTGCATTGTGTGGGTTAAGAAATAGACCTTAATATGAAAACTCTGTGAGGAGTGCAGTATTGTGCTGTGTTAAAGTGGGTCATTGCATGAAGTATGGCGCTGAGGTGCTGTGTCAAGAAAAAATACTTTTTCTAATCTAATTCAAACTGACCCAAATTCCAGTGATTTCTACTGACACAGAAATACCACACTGCCTGTTGAATCTAACTCCAGTTTGCTGTTTTCTGTCCTTACCCACAGATGCTGCCTGGCTATGAGAACCTCCTGTTTGCCCACTCCAGCTGGTACACGTATGCTGCCACAATGCGGATCTACAAACACTGGGATTTCCGTATCACTGAGCCCCACGCAGCCACTGGGAAACTGTCCTTCAGTAGCTACCCTGGTATGTAGCAACAATTATTCATAGATAACAAGTACAGCAGTGAAAGTGTAGCAATTTGCAATCAGTTGTTCCACATAACTGTGATTGCAACTGTGGCTTGTTTGTGAAGATTTTCAGAAATAGTCTTTACTTTCTTTTCAGGTTTCCTGGTGTCTCTGGATGACTTCTACCTTTTGGGCAGTGGTCTGATGATGACCCAGACCACAAACAATGTCTTCAACTCCTCCCTTTTTGACCAAATCACCCCCAACAGCCTGCTGGCGTGGCAGAGGGTCAGGCTGGCTCACAGTTTGGCACGTACCGGAGAAGAGTGGGCCAAAACCTTCTCCAAGTACAATTCTGGTGAGTGTCTAAGCACAGTTACAAACGATTTTACAAAACAGCAGTAACACTAAGAGACATACAGATACACCATAAACCAAAAGGCCAATGAAATATAATAAAACACCATTTTATCTGGAGCAAATCAATAAAACTGAATGTTAAAGTACTAAATGAATCAGTACTTTACACTAGCTAAAGCTTTCAAAGCATACCAGTGTATTAGACGTTAATTCATTCATTTTACATTCCAGGCAACCATTTGAATACTTGAGCCGATACCTAACGGGTAACTCCACTGATTTTACACATCAAAGTATGTTTACAGGTCTTGTGCAGTACGACTGCATAAGTGAAAAAAAAGTTGTAAAAAGCCCTTTGTGGCTCCAGAGGGAGGTGTGTGAAGACTGATAAATTACTTAAAGTGACATCACTTGAATCAGCAATGGTCATGTTGGTTAAATACAAGTTCCTAAATGAAATGGAAATTCTGGGGTTGTGGAGGTGGAGACACGTGAGCTTATCAGAGCTTATCGGTCTTCATGCAGTATAAGACTGTGGGAATAAAAAAGGTGATAACTCTCTTTCTGCTGCATTGATTTTAATCCCTTTTTGTTATAGAGGTGCAATGCTAAATCGGTGGACTGCTCTTTTAAAAATGGAAGAGAATTGAGATATGACCGATCGTAATCCTCAAATCAAGTCTGGTAATAAATCCCCAGTCTGAATGTGGAATTTGGATGATCGGCTGATTTAAAATACAAAACGATACTGTAACATAGACAGGGGGAAATATGTGAGCAGCAGAGTGATTTTAAACTCATTGTGGAGATCTGATCAGAAGCCTTAAAATACCCAAACTGATAACATCACATCATTTTACAGACTTGTTTGCTTTTGCCCCACTCAACTTCTATCCCCCACCACTCACCCACCACTCCTGTAGGTACCTACAACAACCAGTACATGGTGTTGGACAGAAGCAAAGTGAAGCTAGGCCACAGTATTGATGACGGTGCTCTGACTGTGGTGGAGCAGATCCCTGGGCTGGTGGAATACTCTGACCAGACACAGGCTCTGCGGAGAGGTAACAACAGATCTTGTTTTCTTTTTTTCTACAGTATTTGTTACGTTGGACGTGTGTCGAGTTTATCTTTCCTGCTGCCTCTGTCTGTAACAGGTTACTGGCCGTCCTACAACATTCCCTTTCACCAGGAGATCTACATGATGAGTGGTTATGGACAAATGTGGGAGGAGCATGGAGAGGACTTCTCTTATGATCTTTGTCCCAGAGCCAAGATCTTCCGCCGTGACCAGGCTGATGTCAAGGACCTGGACTCCTTGAAGCACATCATGAGGTTTAATGGTATGTGGCACTGTGTTATTTTATTAGTTTATATGACCCACATTCAGCTGGTTCTACAAATCACCTGGAACCTGCATTTCTTATTTTTTCACAACGATTAAAGTAGCCCTGATCTGCATTTAGCGCTACTATAATCAAACAAAGTGACATCTTTATTGATTGATCCAGTTGTGGTTTAAGAGCAGCGCCCTCTAGCTTTGCCAGGAAATCATGATTTTTTGTCAAATAATGTTGGTCCCACATTTTAAATAAAGATCTACTTATTAGCCCAGAACAGACTTGTATATGTGCAATATGTTTGTTACCATTTCTGTCTGTTTGTTTGCTTATTTTCAGACTACAAGAAGGATCCCTACTCCAAGGGTGACCCCTGCAAGTCCATTTGCTGCCGTGGGGACCTGAGGGCAGTGAAGCCTTCACCAGGAGGTTGCTATGACACTAAGGTAGGGCCCTGTCAATGCACTAATCTTGCATCACAGTAACAGAGGTCACTAAGGTCTTGTAAAATCAAATGCTTTTTGGATGATATCCTCTGGTTCCTACGCTTTTTATTCATCCAGGTAACAGATTTCCTCATGGCTGGGGACTTCCGTGCGGAGGCGGTGAACGGGCCAACGACACAGGACGGACTCCCGCCTTTCATTTGGGATAAATTCAGCAGCATCAGCCACCAGGGCCTGCCGCAGTACTACAACTTCACCTTCGTCAAGATGCAGCCTCTTCTCTTCAAGCCATGAGGTGTTTGTGTGCGTGTTTGTGAGTAAGACAAAGACAGATGCCTTCTGTCTGATGCTCTAAGAATAATGAATGATGAGGGTCAAAGGTACAATCTGCACAATGGTTCATTTTTTTTATTTTAACTGTTGCTTACAGTTCAGAGTTGCGTTCCACCAACATATGCTTTCTTTTTAAATCCTACCTAACCATACTTCCTTCCACCTGATAATCAAATCAAACTGCCAATCAGTATTTTAACACTTACATGTCTCAGGGTATGTTGGATGATTTACTTTGGAATACCGTAGAAATCAGTTGCAGCCATATGTGCCTCAAACACAACTTGATTTTATAAAATACAGAATAAATGCACTAAATCAGTGGTTATACCGTCTTTACTCCTTTTTTTTAAATGCTTGAATTTCTTCATACATGCGAACACTATATCAGTGCAATGTCATACTCAGGGCTTCTCTGATGCTGTGATTTATGTGCATCTGTTTCTTATGCTGTGCAAAATAAAGATCTCTCAGGTTTGTATTTTTGTGTAAGCCTTTGTTTTTTGTAATATGATGTGTAATACTGCACAACTGCATCATGCCATCTTCTCAAGTGTTAAATGTTTATTAAAGTTTTACAGTTGTGCCGGTGTAGCCCTGTCTCCAATCTTGTCTTGTGCAACAGTGACTCATTTTCACCAGTCCCAGCTGATCTGTGTTGGGGGAGATTCATGACCCAGCTTGTGCATTCAAGCAATATTGTTCCTGTTTTGAAAACACCATCACTTGCTTCACTTAAGAGTTTCTTGTGCTGTCAATAACAAGACATTATAGAGAAATTCTTGTCAGAAAATTTTGATTAGTAATTGTGGAGCCCCACAGCTGCCTCTATGATTTAGTGCAACAAATATTAGTATATAGGGTGTGCAAACCTGCATTGCATGGGAGAGAGATTTGATGTTTTAAAAGGCTGTGGCTCTGGAGTTGTTGCTGTCAGACAAACAGGAACTGAATCTGATCCACATGATAGTAATCTGTAGAACAACTAAATAAAGAGTTGTAATAAATCAATATGCCAACCATTAATGTGACAAACTGTAAAATGATCATGAATCACCAGTCATATAATATTTTTATGATTCATGGTTACACTTGAGTTACAACTTTTGAAGATTCTTTGGTTAACTTGTTCACTGGGAGCCTCCAGTCAGGGCAGATAATAATAATAGGACCATAACACACAGCACTATTGGCTACCCACACAAGTCTGTACAGGAAATACGTAAATATGCGGAAGAAAACAGCACTCTCTGATTTCCGTTTCACCTGGAC